CCCCCCCCCCCCTCTCAAATGCAAGTTAAGATCTAGCCCTCATGTAACACATGTTTCACCATAGCCTACTCAGAGTGCGCCTTGGGGAATACAACATTAGACGCCTGGACTGGACAGAGCAGCTGAAATTGTCCAGCAAAGTGATTTACCACCCGAGCTACAACCCCAGGACCAAGGACAATGACCTCATGCTGATCAAATTGCTCAACCCAGCTTGCTTGAACAAGAATGTACAGACCCTGGAACTCACCACCAGCTGCCCTGTTACAAACACAGAGTGTGAGGTGTCAGGGTGGGGCACAACCATCAGCCCTGGAGGTGAGGTTCAGGTTTGGCTGGGTAGAGGGACCATCCTTACAGTGAAAGGTTTAGAATCAGCTCGAAGCACCATATTATGGCCAACCAATGGTCCATCTGGCCCTGTATCCATATCTGTAGCCCCACAAAGACCTTCTGGCCAACTTCCTTCCAGCTGTGGTCAAGTTGTCCATCGAGCTGGCTGGAAGGAACCCAGGAGTCTGGGTTTATCTTCCTTTCACTGGTCTGGGCATGTCTTTTGGTAGAGTGTCAATGTGGGGATCCATAAGCTCCTTAGATGCCTTTAAGAGGCAGCAGGCACTGTTCAGAGCTGTCTGCTCCTTCCCTTCTCTTGATCTCTGGTTATTAAGCCATAACCTTCCCTTTCCTTCCTGTTTTCTTATGATTTATCCAATGGAAATGGGTACTGTCTATTTCTTGGACTCCCTCCAGTCATGGTAGGGGATTTGGAGTTCCTGGTGGGCTTAGGCTTACCATCATCATCAGCCTGTCTCCATTTTTGGCCATAGTAGACGTGTTAGAGCAGTGGTTTTCAACCTGTGGTCTGTGGACCCCCGGAGGTCCACAGACTATATCTAAGGGGTCCACAAAAGATGACTGTGATCAATCAAAAGTAGGAGAATACTCACACTTACTATTAAAAGGGGTCTGCACCTCCCTTCTAAATTTTAGGAGTCCACAAATGAAAAAAAGGTTGAAAACCACTCTGTTAGTTGGTAAGTCTATGGATCAGGCATATCTAGAGAGATCCACCCATGGCCAGACCTTTCCTAGTACCCAGTGATGATGGTTGGGTCAATACATAAGAAACAAAAGAAAATCCATCCACAGAATTCAAAACATCTCAAATTTCTCCATTTTTGAGACTGGAGCTTTTTCCACCAAAACACCAATTTTAATTTATTTTTTATTTATTACAAAAAGTCTCTTAAAAATTTCACCAATTTCTGTTGAATTGGTCAAATTATTTTTAACTCCCCCCCAAACAAACAAAACACTAGTGACAAAAAAACCCAACCATTCAAACTCAATTTTCAATTTTTACATTTCGAATGGATTATTTTGAGTGACAATTGCCTCCAAAAACACGGCCTGAAAAGGTTTTTTTTTTTTGCAGGGTGGGGTGGGAATGGATTTTTATTCTAATTAGACAACATTGTTAGATGTGAAATTAACTTCCTTTTTTTTATTTAAATTTGCTGGTTTAGTTTGAAATGATCTATCTGTCTCTCTATGAAGATGGATGGATAGACAGACAGACAGACATATCTATAAAGATACATAGAGACAGATAGATAGAGATTAACGTGCTTTTCGGTAAGCAGGAAGAAAAATCAGCTTTTCAATGTGTATATTCTCTTTGTTGTTAATTTTTAGCTTCACTTTTGTTCAGTAGTGTGGCAGAAATGGCTCTTACCATATTTATTGCATATAATATGAACTATAGTTCCCAGTAGCTGTTTTTTGGGAACATCAGAGCTGCCGTTTACTGGGTTAGACCCCAGGTCTGTCTTGCTCAGTCTTGTGTGTCACACAGCAACAGAGCAAATGTTGAAAGGGAGAGTGAACAGGTTGCAGCCATGGGTTGGTTTTTTTTCCACTGTTCCTCTCCTGCTTGAAAGGGGACTGGACCATTTCTTGGAGGAAAGGGGCATCAGGAGCTATTGAACATGGGAGTGAGGGGTACAGCCTTTGAATCAGAACTGCAAGTCTCAGCTTCCACAACATCTTGTGGCAATGAGTTCCATGCTTTAATTACATGTTGTATGAAAAAGAACTTCTGGCTCACATTGTAGGTGAGAGAGAAATTCATTTATAACTAGCAGTATAGGATAGGATTCCATATACCATTGCAGTATAGTGTAGTACAGTATATAGTCTGCCTCCGGGGCCTTGGCAATTTCACCCCCATCCTGCATCTAGCCTTTGAACAGAACATCCTTTGTGTTATTCTTTTGCAGCCATGTACCCCAGCATCCTCCACTGCGTTGGTGTCAACATTGTGGACCAGGCATACTGTGAGAGTGTCTCCACTGGCCTTGTCACGAACAACATGGTGTGTGCTGGCCATTATGGAGGCCGAGAAGACTCTTGCTATGTAAGTTGGATGGCTTGGCACTAATCCCTGAGGGCTTGAAGGGCCAAGCTATGTTGGAGTGGGGGCTGATGGAAAGGGGGTAGGATGGGGGAAAGACATGGGATACCCTTTGTGTTAGCTTGAGTGATTCCTGGAGGTTCTTCTGTAGACATAGGAGACTGGAGGCACCTGTCTTCCCAGCCATCCTGACTACCCATATCATAGAGAGCCTGTCCATAGAGATTCCAGGCAGTCCTTCTCTGGGGGTGAGATCAAGGTGAGTTGTGAGGAACCAGAGAAGGATCTGGCATGATTGAGCAATTGGACAACTAAATGGCAGATAGAGATAGGTGTCAAGTGATGCATATGGGCAAAAATAACCCAAAATAGATCTACACTAGGATGGGCTGTACATTAGCTGTTACCACGCAGGGAAAAGACTTGGGAGTCAATGAACAGCTAAAAACATCAGCTCTGCGTGAAGCTGCTGTCAAAAAGGCAGACAAAACACTAGGAATTATTAAGAAAGGAACTGTGAACACAATAGAAAGTATCATGATTAGGGATCTATTTAAGCTGCCGTTTCGTGATCTTTGAGGAAACCGGCGATCTCCATGAAAAATGGCGCTGGATGTGATTTCCCATGGAATCGACCCCCCCAAAACCCAGAATACAAAGTAATTGCCTATCACTGCAGCCATAGAGAATATGATCTGAGTGAGAGCTCCTGAGAGGCCAAGCTAGTGATGTAAACTAAGGGAAGGTGTCAGGAAAGGGAGTGTTTTGGGAAAATCAATGGTGAGGGATGGGGCCACCAGGACCCCTCCACCAATCAGTGATGAGAGGCAGGGGTGCTATGAAATGCCCACAAAATTGGATCTACATGCCATGAAGAACTTGTCTTGCCATGATTGAAGTAAGTCCCTAATCATGATACCCTTTTATAAAACCACGGTGCGTCCACACCTTGAATATTGCACCCAATTCTGGTCCCTGCACCTCCAAAAGGATCTAGAAAAGGGAGGGCAATTATGTCAGGCGGAGGGCCACTTACTGAGTTTTGGCAAGCCACTGAGGGCCGCATGAAGGCAGCCAGGGGCAGATGAATATTAATTTTCTAAATCTTTTAGGGGCCCCATGGTTGGATAGAATGGCCCGCAGGCCCACCCCTGATCTAGAAGAATTCAAGAAGGTCCAGAGATGGGCAACAGAGTTGATGAGTACTATGGAGTGGCTTCCCTAGGGGAAGAGGCTAATGAGGCCAGGCCTATTTAGTAGGGCTGTGCGAAGCTTCAGTCCCTGATTCAATTCGGCAGAGATTCGGCCTGAGTCGGTGGCCAAATCTCTGAATCTGAATCAAATCAGAGGACCCTTTAATCTCTCTGAATCAAAATGGAACCCTCTGAATCAATTCAGAGAGATTCGGAAAGATTCGGCAATTTGGACATAGATACAGCTTTAAATGTTTTTTCCACATACCTCTAGGTAGCAGACAGCTTCTGAGTGCTGTGATGCTGGGGTGCATGGAGTGTCCCACAGAGTGTGGGGGGCTCTCCAGTGCGCTCAGCAGCAGACCCAGAAGTGGACCAGAAGCACAGCTGGTCCATTCTGGGTCTGCCAGGGACCCCCCCCTCCTGGGCCCCCAATTGCTGAGCCAGGGCGGTGCGGGTGGTCCCCACTGTGGGCTGCCTAGCAGACCTGGAAGTGGACCAGAATTACTTCTGGTCCACTTCTGGGTTTGCTGCTGGGCACGTGGAGGGCCCCCCACCCCCCACTCCTGTGGGATGCTCCATGTGCCCCAGCATTGCAGCATTCAGAAGCCATGCTGGTACCTCAATGTATGTAGAAAAAACATTTAAAAATGTGTCTATGTGTGAATCAGTGATTCTCTGAATCAGCATCAAAACTTCAGATTCAGATTTGGCCAAATCGAATCAGGGACAGTGATCCGAATCAGTGAATCGAATCACTGTCTCTGATTTGGGCCGCATCCGAATCCGAATTGAACAGAGCCCGCTTCGCGCACCCCTACTGTTCAGTTTAGAAATGGATGTTCAAGGGTGGACATGAGAATGACTTACAAGTGGAAAGTCAACAGGGATATATTTATTGACTCTCTTGGCAGACAGGAATGAGGGGTCACAACATGAAATGAGTAGGTCATCAGTTTAAAACCAACACCAGGAAGGCCTTTTTCACCCAACTTGGAAGGAAAGGGTGGAACTTGTGGCCACCAGATGTGGTGGAAGCTGATTCAACAAGGGATTGGACCAGTTCTTGATGGAAAGAGGCATCAGGAGCCATGGGGTGTGGGTGTGAGGGACACAGCCTCTGAATCAGCATTTCCTGGACTTCCAGTGCTGGAGGCTACAAGTGAGAGAGGAACAGGGGAAAAACCCAGCTGAGATCCAGCTCAGTCCCTTCTAGCTTCTGGTCTCTGCCCCTGGACTCTGGGCAAGATGGACCTAGGGTCTGACCCAGTCATGGCAGTTCTAATGTCCTTGTGATGCATCCTTACTGCTGCTTCCTTAACTCTACTGTGATGCGTGTCTTTAACTGTAATTTTGGGTGGAATTCATGGCCAGGATCATTCCAAGAGAATCTCCGAGTAGCTGAGGGCAGGCTTGTAGCAACAGGAGACTATGGGAGAAGCAAAGGTTTCCTGATAGCTCCAGGAACCATGCATAGAGGATGCTGGGAAGACACCCAGCCTATGCCCTGGATTGGAGTGAGATGAGCAATGCACAGGTCCTCTGCTGCTACCTACAGGCACTGGGCTGATTTGCACGGGATGGTAGCAAGACACCTGGACTTTCCTTTGTTAGTTGAGGCAGATGGGTCCAGTGGTTAGAGCAGGAACTGTGGCATTTTTGGGATTCCTTCAGACCTCAATAGGAGCTCGACCACATCCCTGTGGGGTGTGACACCCTGACTTAGGTCTGTGTCTATGCCTTAGTTTCCCCCAAAGGCATAATGCAAGACAATAAAACACAGGTGCCTACCAAAGTCAAGCTCCTGACATTCAGAAGATGATTCAGGACACCTGGGTTCTATTTTCAGCTCAGTCACTGATTGGCCACGTGTCCTCGGTCCCCTCATTTGGCCTTTTGGCGCTTTTGTTGCTTCTCCCAGTTCCCTCCTCCCCCTTTTGAATATGATGCCTGTTTTGGGGAGGACAGGAAACTGAATAATACTTGGGGGAGTGGGGGGTGGAAATGCATTCCCTGTCTTATTCAGAGCCATCTGTATCAGAGGTAATTTTGGAACACAGCTTTAAAGCCAAGAGTGGTGGCAGATGACAGAACAAGGAGCAATGGTCTCAAATTGCAGCAAGGAAAGTTTAGGTTAGACATGAGGAAAAACTTTCTCATGAGGAGGGTAGTAAAACACTGGAACAGGTTACCCAGAGGTGGTGTGATCTCCATCCTTGCAGGTTTTGAAGATCTGACTAGACAAAGCCTTGGCTGGGATGATGTAGTTGAGGATGGTCCTGCTTTGAGCAGGACTAGATGTGACTTCTTTAGGTCCCTTCCAACCCTAACTTTCTGTGATTCTATAAGGGCATCAGTGGTTGGACACTGAGGTTGTCCTTGAGCAGAAGAAGGATTAGCTTGGGGGGTGGAGGGGAGATGGTTTCTTTGCTGCAGTATTGCTCTTTGTTTGGCACGAGAAGAAAGTCTAGGCAGCAGGGAATGAGGCGAGCGATATTTGAGCCAGCCAACACCAGTGATTTTCCACTGCTTCTTGGCACAGAGCTTCAGCTGTTATATTCATTAATGGTTTGCATAAGAGGGGAGGCCCTGGAGCACTCTTGGAATGGAGCTGGTTGTGAAAATGGCCATCTTGCGGCGGATGTAAATAATAGCAAGTCTGAGGCCTCTGAGAAGATACTGACATTCCCTGTGCAATTGCAAAGCAGCAGGAAGGGAAAGTTGCCTTCTGGGAATTCCCTCTGATTGGGAAAATCGGTAGGGACCTTAAGATCACATCAGAAGTTGCATGGGGGAATCCCAGGATCACAGAAAACAAGGGTTGGAGAGGACCTCAGGAGGTCACATCTAGCCCAACCCCCTGCTTCAAGCGGGACCAGCCCCAACTAGATCATCCCAGCCAAGGCTTTGTCTAGCTGGGGCTTCAACACCTCCAAGGATGGAGATCCTACCACCTCTCTGGGTAGCCTGTTCCAGTGCTTTACTACCCTCCTCATGAGGTTTTTCCTAATACCCAACCTCGACTTCCCTTGCTGCAACTGGAGCCTATTCCTCCTTGTTCTGTCATCTGCCACCGCTGAGAATAGTCCAGCTCCGTCCTCTTTCAAACCCCCCTTCAGGTAGTTGAAGGCTGCTATTAAGTCCCTCTAAGTCTCCCCTTCTCTGGACTAAATAAGCCCAGTTCCCTCAGTTTTTTCTCATAATCATAGGTCATGTCCCACAGCCCTACCATTTTTGTTGCCCTCTGCTGGACTCTCTCCAATGTGTCCACATCCTTTCTGTACTGGGTGGTCCCATACTGAACACAGCACTCCAGATGTGGCCTCATCAGCACTCAATAGAGGGGAAGAATCACTTCCCTTAATATGCTGACAATGCTTCTACCAATGCAGCCCAGGATGCCATTAGTTTTCACAGCAACAAGGTCACACAGTTGGCTCCGATTCAGCTTATTGTTCACTGTCGCCCCCAGGTCCTTTTCTGTAGAGCTGCTGCCCAGCCGGTCGGTCCCCAGCCTGTAGTGGTGCCTGGGATTGTTCCATTCAAAGTGCAGGACTTTGCACTTGTCCTTATTGAACCTCCTGAGATTTCTTTTGGTCCAAATTTTAACTCAGTATCTCAGGAAGTAGGAAAAGAAATGCCCCCATAACTCAATGTATTTTGGTTGGCTGCTGCAGTGACTCACAGGAGCTGTAGGACTTTTCAGAGGTGCTGCAATGCTCATAGGGTCTATATATCCCATGGTGCCTCAGGGGCAAGGACTCCCCTAATGCACTGTTTCCTGTATCCATGGACTTTGAGGATATGGACTGTGGGGAGGGGATTGCCTTCCTCTGTATTCCTCTACCTGGGATCTCTTGAACCTAGATTAACAACCATTTACTGAAGCAGGACACTGGCTGCCATGGACACTCCTGCTTCCCCTGTGGCTGGTTCAGGTGTGATGTTTTGTGTTGCATCACGGTTGACGATAGTTTTACACATTGGTCAGATTTAGATAGGATAGTTTGGATAGAGATGGTCCTCCCTTAGGCTCGGTCACTAGGTGACCTCTGGAGGTCCCTTCCAACCCTATTTCTCTATGATTTTATGGGACCAAGGTGTGTCCAATGTGGCAGCCCAGAGAGCCAATGAAGAAGGATGTTCATCTTCTGGGAGGTGCCATGGAGTGCGTTCTAAGGTCAAATATCACCGTTTGGAGTGAAGATCCCATCATTTCATTGAAGAACTCTGACAAAAGGGTGGTGGTGGTGGTGGTGGGGGGGGGGAAATAAAAATACCTCATATTTCTCCAAAACAGAAAGGAATTCAACCCTGTTGGCCTCGGTGTCTTTCCAGAGTCTTGTCATCGTGTTGCCAGTCAGAGTATAGGTCCCGTGCTCTGAGCATCCCAGTCTGCAGTCCCTGGCACTTCTTCCTCTTTCTTTGTCTCCACAGGGCGATTCTGGGGGCCCCCTGGTCTGTAACGGAAAACTCCAGGGTATTGTTTCCTGGGGGCCTGAAGTCTGTGGGGACCCAGAGCGACCCGGCATCTATGTGAATGTCTGCAAATTCATCAGGTGGATTAGGGACACCATAAGAAACAACTGATGTCTCGTCCCATCTTGGGAAAGGAGCTGGTCCTTCCGTGACCTGGATCGTCATGTGGGGGCTTGGGAGTGAGAGGATTGGATGGGAACAACCTAGAAGGGCTCCATTTGAGGGAGTGTCCTGTTCATGCCCATCTAGGAATCACCCTGTTGGTTATTTGTCTCTCCCCTCCATGCCTGGTTCTAAGTCCAGGAAGCAGAGATAAGCAGGCTGATTCCTAGAAGGGCCCAACTTGAGTGAATTTCCTGTTCCTGGTCCCTCTGGGGGAGCCCATCTAGGCTCTGGTAAAGTTCTTGGAGGCTGTCTCCACCATGCTCTGTATGAAGGCAAACTAATAAAGTCCTCCACCCTCAGGGAGTGGGTATTGCAGAGAAGCACAATGTGGTTTCCTGTGTTGTTTCTTTGTCCAGCTCTGTGCACGCCTGTCCTCCTTCTAGGAGGGTCTGGGTCCATTAGTTCCCCATCAGTGTCACACTTGTGTTCCTCCCAGTGTTGGCTGGATTTGTCCTCTTGACTTATCCCAACTAGGTATGGAGTCATGGATGGTGACTTGTTGCATGTGATTTCATAGATTTCATAGACATTAGGGCTAGAAGGGACCTTGGAAGATCATCGAGTCCAGCCCCCTGCCCCGAGGGGCTGGAAGTCAGCTGGGGTCATAGGATCCCTGCAAGATAGACATCCAAATTTCTCTTGAAGGTGTTCAATGTAGGTGCTTGAACCACCTCCGATGGCAGGCTATTCCAGACCTTGGGGGCTTGGACAGTAAAGAAATTCTTCCTTATGTCCAGCTTGAAACGGTTTTGTTGTAGTTTATGACCGTTCGACCTTGTCATCCCTTGGGGTGCTCTGCTGAACAAACATTCCCCCAGATCCTGGTGGTCACCCCTGATAAACTTATAGGTGGCTACCGGATCACCCCTGAGCCTGCGCTTTTCCAGGCTAAAGAGCCCCATAGCTCTCAGCCTGTCATGACACAACCAGTGTCTATCTACCTTGCAGTCCTTTATATAACCATCAGAAAGTAGGGTTGGAAGGGACTTCAGGAAGTCATCTAGTTCAGCCCCTGCTCAAGGGAGGATCAGCCCTGAGTAAACCATCCCAGCCAAGGGTCTTTCCAACCTGCTGGGCCCTGCTGTTGAAGATTTCCAGAGATGGAAATTCCACCACCTTTCCATTGGGAAGCCTGTTCCAATGCTTGATCACCTTCAGAGTCATAAAGTTCCTCCTTATCTCCCACCTCAGTTTCCCCTAATGCGGCTTGAGGCCATTGCTCCTAGCCCTGTCCTCTATGGCCCTGGAGAAAGGTCCATCTCCACAGCATTGCCCTTCAGGGATTAGAAGACTGTGATCAAATCCCCTCCTCAGTCTTCTCTTCTACAGACTAAATAACCCCAGTTCATTCACCCTGTCCTCCTCCATCTTGCTTCTGAGACCTCAAATCATTTTGGTTCCTCTCCATTGGGGTCTTTCCAAACTGTCCACTTCCTTCTTTGAAGCATGGCACTCAGAAATGAACAGAGTTTCCAGGTGAGGCCTTTCTGGAATGGGAGATCATTGCCTTTGATTTTCAAATGATGATCCTGTTGTCACAACCCAAGAGGCTGTTGGCTTTGTTTGCAACTACAGCACAAATGCCAAATCTCTTTGTCACCAGGGTGGTCCTAATGTTTGGGACCTTGGGCCTGGTCATTGGGCAAAAGGGTTGTTATGTAGGTTGGAGGAAGCCTTTTTTGGTCTGGCTGAGAGCGGGGGGTTGGACTGGATGTGACCTCCTGAGGGCCTGGCCAGCCTGGTTGTCTTCATCTACTGACAGATCCTTCCTCTTGAGTATGAGAAAGATGCTTCTTTCTCATCCTCCCATTCCTTTAGCTCAGCTCCGTCCATCCTTCACTGCCAACTCCCTTCACCACTGATCTTGATGACCAGGCTCCTCAGGCTCCTCCATCATTACCTAGCCTCTAGCTCTACTGCTATGGTTATGCTGGACACCTTTTCTCTTGGCCTCAGCTGCCTCCTAGCCACCCCTGAGAGACTGAGTCACCATGGTACTACCATGTAGGTCAAGAGCATGTCTCTGTCCTCCCCCTGGCATAAGACCTGGATTCCCGCTATGTCACTTAACATCATCATGGGACCTGCATGGAAGAGAAACCTGCCTCAGTTGATGTCACCAAAGAATTCATAGCTCTGTGGCCAGCATCTGAGGTAGATGGCCACTATCATTCAGGTCTCCATAGTAAGTGTCCAGGATCGCATCTCCTCCATGGGCAGGAGACAAAATGGCTGTTGTCAATCACAGTTACCATCTGGGATGATGAAGACAAGATGGTGGCCATCTGTCACACCCCAGTGGGCATAATTAGCCATTGCTACATGGGAGTTTTTGTTTTTTTTATTTCTCCTCTAGGGAGACGCCAGCAAGTTTATCCTTCTCTGTTCTTGCTCCAAGGAAAGCCATGGTTTTGCCCTGCAGGTCAAATGTATCCAGATGTAAACATGAGAGTTACCTAACCAAGATGTGCTTGTCTGGCCTGGGGACAGGATCCACCCACCGCGCCCTCTGCTCTGAACATGCCTAGGCTTGGCACCCTTTCCTTGAAATAGCTCCCTCTCCCAATGTGTTGCTGCCACACCTTGGCCCTTGCAAGTATAGAAGCTCTGGAAAGGTGTAATTACCCATGTTAAGGATGAGGTGACAACAGTTATTAGCTTCTATTGGGTGACTTCATTTCATATATTTTTAAAGCCATATAAAATAGGTAGATGACTTTCCAATGAGAAGCAAAACATTGGTTTTGTTCCTGGCTTCTCACAGGGGAATAGACCTTGATGTTTCAGGACTGAATGGGGCCAGGACTGGTATAGGTCTGTCCTTGCAATAGGGAGCTCTATCCCTACCCACTCTATATCCCCTTTTCTCTCTTGGGATCATAGGAAAGTAGGACTGTAAGGGACCTCAGGAGGCCACATCTAGTCCAACCCGCTGCTCAAAGCAGGACTAGCCCCAACTAGATCATCCCAGCCAAAGCTTTGTCTAGCCAGGTCTTCAAAACCTCCAAGGATGGAAACTCCACCACTTCTCTGGGAAATCTGTTCCAGTGCTTCACCACCCTCCTAGTGAGAAAGTTCTTCCTAATATTCAACCTCATCTTCCCTTGCTGCAACTTGTGCCCATTGCTCCTTGTTCTGTCATCTGCCCCCACTGAGAACAGCTGAGTTCCATCCTCTTTGCAACCACCCTGGAGGGAGTTGAGGACTGTGATCAAATCCCTGTCTTTCTGCCTCCAGATTCTATGATCTGAATTCTTTTGCAAGTCTCCTGGCTTTAGCCATGGCTCAGGCAACAGGAGTTTGAACCTTGCTCTGGACTTGTTTCTCTCCCAGTTGTCTGGGCAACAGTTAGGACACCTGATACAGCATCATTCAGGCTGGAGAATCCAGGCCAACCACATTAGATGGCAGCTACACTGCTCCCTTGGGTGCTGTTGGCTACAGAGATGGGCACGAGGTCACCCATGGATGCTGAATTTAGATAGATGAACTCTACTTCCACTGGAAGGGATTGGTGGACCCCTGTCCCAGATCAGCGCAGATCTGGGGGGCTTCATCTTCCTGGCTTCCTTGGGGCAAAGTCCAAGTCTCCAGTTGATATAACAGGCTGCCACTTCATTGGTGGCACTGGGGACAGTTTCTCACTTTGTGTCCAGCAGCACTGGCTTCTCTGGGATCAGATTCCTCATCCAGAAATTGCCCTTTTAAGGAAACTCCAATAGCTCCCAACCCAGTGACTCCAAACCCTGGCAGACACTGCATGTTGCTCCACTCAGGTCAATGCCCTAGCAAATGTCAACCAACCACTGTTCCACATGACCAATCCCCATGGCCTCTCATGCTAGACTGGGCACACCAGCTCTGAATTAGCTCCTACCTTGCCCTCAATGTGTTGAACTCACACCCCATCCATTGCACATCTAGGAGGTCCCAGCAGTTGTAATTAATCATTGCTAAGAGGCGGTGATGCTCATTATCCTTCCAGCTTGTCATTACCCCTTGGTGGAGTCAACCTGGTGGCTTTAATCCAGTTGTCTCAACATCCAGCTGGCACGCGAAGAAAGAGGGAGAAGGCGGCTTTGAATTATACTGTAGTGCTGGCAGAAGAAGCCATCACCTTCCACAGCTCATCAACATGGGGTGGGGTGGCCTTGCTTTTACAATGGCCACCCTAGTGCAAAGGTACTTGAACGTGATTTGTGGGGGGGTCCTCAGTGAGTCTGAAAGCCTATAACTACCAACACTCATTATTTTTGGAGACAGATTAAGGTTGTAAAAAGCCTGAGGAGCTGCCTGGTCAGAAAATTACCTTTGGGGTCCCTGCATCTTGTGTTGGCCAATGTGGCTTCTTCTGTAGCTTCTATGTTGTGTGGGAAGAGATGGAGAGTCCATCACATCCCTCAGGGATGTGTTCCAGAGGATAATCACCATAATGAAGGGCCCTATTTCTTACCAGCATCAGTCTGGTGCTAGCTCTCATTGCCTGTCTCTTGTTTCTCTTTTCTTTGCTAGATCTGAGAACTCTAGAAAACATCAAGTCAGCTTGTCCTCTTCTTGTGGGCAAGCTGAATAGACTGAGCTTTTGTAGCATGCTTCTCCCCTTCTCCAAACCATCCCAGCCAAATGTCCATCCAGCTTGCTCTTGAAAATTTCCACAGATGGAGACTCCACCACCTCTCTGGGCAGCCCATTCCACTGCTTGACCCCCCTCGGAGTCAGAAAGTTCCTCCTCAACTCCAACCTCAATTCCCCCTGCTGCAGTTTGAGGTCATTGCTCCCAGTCCTGTCCCCTGCAACCACCGAGAAAAGTCCATCTCCATTCTCTTTATAATTGCTTTTCATGGACTGGAAGACTGTGATCTCCAGGTTTTTGACATCTTTTTTTAAAGGGCTGGAGGCCAGATTCAGGTCCCAGTTCCACATGGAGAGGGCAGAGCCATCTCCTTATTCCCACTCTAAGGGGCACATTGGCTTTTTTCGTAGCTATAGTGTCAAACTCAGAGTGGCAGCATGTGGGGGTTAATGCTACACTGGTCTACATACCACCAGCAATTTGGTATCCCTAACAAGGTCTGGGTAATAAGTACTGTCCCCCAGAGGTATAACTGGTAGGACCATCTCCCAGAGCAAACGCCTGATCTAGGTAGGGAGGAAGAGGTATCACCCCAGCCAGAACCTGTAGAATTAACAAGGGGGATGCTTCTGGGTTATTGTATTTTCTCATATAAATAACTTGCAACTCCCTCCCAACCCCCAACCCCCAAGCAGCTGGAAATTAGAGTTTGCATTATATGTGCAAAATATGGCACAAGCAGTTTCTGCTTCTTGCTGGACAAAAGCAGACCAAGTACCCACAGTGATCCAAAGCCTTTCTGAAAACAAGGTTTGTGTTTTATTCTGGGGTGTGTTGTAGTCAAGAAAATATGGTACATGGCAATTGGTGGCCAACTGTACTGGTTAGGCTGATATGAACCCCATAGCTGCTGCTTTGTCCTTCTCATACCTGGAGCTACACCTTACTCCTGGATCTGCTGCAGAGAGGTACAGGTTTGAAAATCATACCCATGGATCATGTCTGATGAGATGGCTGGACACAAATGGTGAAGATGGCTCCTCACATCCCAGGAATCCAGTGGCTTCCAGGAGGGTCTTCCATAGTACCCCAGGAGAAGCACATCCTGAGCCTCATAGAGGAAATGTCAGCCTGTGGGCTGTCTATCTTGAAAGTCAAGTGTTTGTTGCCATGAATATGAAGATGGTGGAGATGTGGTGAGAGAAACAAAGGCTGAGAAGGGATTGGATTCAGTTTTGCTGTTGAGCTTGTGGGGAAGGGGGTTGAGATGGTGAATGACTTGAGATAGATAAATAGTGGGGGGGTCTTGGGCAGATGGGTGGATGGATGGAGGAGGTGTGGGATGGATCAGTGGAAAAGTGGATGGAGAAGTTGGTGTGATGGATGGAGTGATGGATAGATCAATGAATGAAAGGGGTGTTGGATGGATGGATAGATGGAGGGGATGAGATGGATGGAAGAGTGGATGAGAGGAGGCTTGGGATGGATGAGTTGAAGTATGAATTGAAGAGATGTTGGGATGGATGGATGGATGGGAGGTTTTGAATGGATGTGTAGAAGGAGTATGGGATGGATGGAGAGGATGCTTGAGGATAGATGGATCGATGCAGTGGTGTGTGGAAGTGAATAGATCGAGGATGTCTTTGTGGATAGATGGATAGAAAGAGTGGGGGGCATGTCAACAGAAAGGAAGAGAGGTCTGACTGACTGGTGGTCTGTCCCCACCCTTCCCATAAAGAGTTTCCACGGAGCCGAATTCACCCCAATCTTGGCCAGGGCCCATTCCATGACCAGCTTGTTGGAGACCCCAATTTGGGTAGGGTCTGGGATACCTCTGAGTTAACTAACACCCTGATCTCACCCAGGGCTTTTGCAACTCTAGGTACTATGAGCTCTCCTTTGAGTGTGGCTAACGCACCTGTAAAACCACCCACCAGGCTTTCCCCTTTCATGTGCAAGGATTTAATTGCAGTATCAGATGCCTGCTAATTAAGCTAACAAGGTCTTATCTCCTCTCCCTTTTTCTGGAGAGATTTGCATGTAAGCTAGATGGCGCCTAACTGAATTCCCTCTAGCTGGTATAACATCGTCCCCTTCATCCTCCCTGGGATGGAGGGAAGGAGGGGGCATTTGGATGGATGGATGGATGGGTGCAGCATTGGAAGCATGGATGGAGGGAGAGGATGATGGATGGAGGGATGAAAGGATGGATGGAAGGCATGTTAGTTGGGTGGATGGGATGGATGGATGAATGGGGTGATGGATTTGGGACATGTTGGATGGATGAGAGGAGAGACTGAGTCAGCTGATACCACCCCTCCCCCATGTCATGGGCCTCAGTCCTAGGAGCCCAGGCATCCTATTCTGGCCTCCCCACAGGCTCCTCCATGGACACGGGACTGGTTTGGCCAGGCGGTGCCAGGAGGAGTGACTCACCGGCACTATTAGGAGGAGGGAACAAGCCTTGCCTAGGGCCAGAGGAGGGCAGCCAGCTTAAAAGCCAGGCTCATTTGTGAGGCTGAGCTAAGCCCATGGGTGGAGGGTGGTGCTGGCAGCCTGTGGGGCCACTGGTTTGAGTCCCAGCTCTGGCAGGAGGCATTGGGGCCCTGCACCCTTGGTGTCTGGTGAGTCCTGGGGGGCACTGGATAGAGGGGAGGGGAGGGGAGGGGTGGGGTGTGGAGGTGTGTACTTGTGTGCCTCTGGGTTGAAGGAGGTGTGTACCTGGTTGTGAATGTGTGAGAGAAATGGGAGGTGTGTGCACTAGTGTGATTGTGCTGTGTATGTATGCATGCACTAGGGTGTGTGTTTGTGCACATGTATCTGAGAGAGATAAATGGGAGGGCTTAAGAGTGTGTGCATGTGTGTGTCCACACTAGTGTGATTTATATTGGGGTGTGTCCGTGAAACCAGTGTGATCATGTTGGGGGGTGTGTGTGTGTGCGTGTACTAGTGAGATTGTATCAGGGTGTGTGTGAGACAAATGGGAGGGTTTAAGACTGTGTGTATACACTAGTGTGTTTGTGTTCAGAGCTGGGTGTGCACTAGTATAATTGTGTTGAGGTGTGTGTGTATGCACTAGTGTGTGTTGGGGTGTGTGTGCACTAGTGTGATTGGTGGGGGGTGTGTATGCATTAGTGTGGGGGTGTACTCATATGATTGTGTTGGGCTGTGTGCCTGACCAATGGAAAGGTTTAATGGGGTGTGCACTAATGTGATTGTGTTAGGGGGGTGTGTGCGCATGCATTAATATGATTGTGTTGTGCAGTGTCTTTAACTGTGCGCCACCCATTTGCAGACACATACATAGTTGTTGGAGGGTCTAAGACTGTGTGCACACACAAGTTTCTGTACTGGGTGGAAGTGTGTGTGTGCATGTGCACACACGCACAAGTTTCTATATTGGGTGGGTGTAGGTGTGTGTGGGTGCACATGTTTCTATATTGAATGTATGTATGTGTGTGTGCACACAAGGTTCTATATTGGATCTGTGTGTGTGTGTGTGTCTGCACACATGCATGCACACTACTGTGTTTGTATTAGGAGGAGGATGTCTTTCACTGTGCATGCCACCCACTGGTGTGAGTGTGTGTATGTGCATGTGTACAAGACAAATGGGAGGATTTACAAGTGAGTGTGTATGCACTAGTGTAATTATATAAGTGTGTGTGTATACGCAAGTTTGTGTTTGCATGAGAGGGCCAGTATGTAGGTCTAGATGGGTGTGTGTGTGTATGTGTGGTGGCTGTGTGCCTGTCACTGTTTATGGACACGTGTGTATCTGCAATGAGAGGACAGTTGTGTTGGTGTGTAGGGACTGGCATGTGTGAGTGTACATGCATCACTCTGTGTGTGTGTGCGCGCGCGTGCATCTGCAGGGTAGAATGCAGTGGTGTTGCGTGAAAGTTTTCGTGCGTGGGTGTTGGGTGTGTCTGCATCTGTGTGTGCTGGCACAGATGTCTGTAGGTGATAGTGGGATTGTGCTGTGGTAAAGGGACGAGGTTGTGGGTCTGGTGTGTGCGTGTGTGTGTTGGCAGGGGAGGGTGTGATTGTGTTAGGGATGTATAATGTGTGCTTGAACTTGATAATGGGGGGAGGGGTTTGGAGGGTGTGATTGTGTTGAGCTACTGTGTATCCACTCCATCTGCATGCGATTGTGTTTGTGTGTGTGTATGTGTGTGTGTGTGTGTGTGTGTGTGTGTGTCTCGCTGTGGGTGTGCACACAAGGAGGGGGAGCATGGCTAAAGGGCAAAGCGTGTTTGGGTCAATGCCTCATCGCTACCTGTGTGAGTCCAGGACACACACACACACATGCACAATCCAGGCATCCAGCCTATGCACACGTGCACACACACACACACACACACACACACAGAGGCATCCAGCGTACACACACACGCACACTCCCTCAGGCATCCAGCATGCACACATGCACACACACACACACACGCACACCTCAAGCATCCAAGCGCGACCCCCCCATCCAAATGTCCAGGACACACACACATGCACACACACAACACAGTGTCAAGGATACATGAACACAAAATCCAGGAATCTGGCATATGCATGGATGTATGTGCGTATGTGTGTGTCCTGGACACGTGTGTGTGTGTGTGTGTGTGTGTGTGTGTGTGTCCTGAACACCTGGGTTCTGTGCACATGTCTCAGATGCCCTTGGTTCTGTGTGCATGTGTGTTTGTGAGTCCCAGATGCCTGAGTTCAGTGTGTGTGTGCACAAATGGGTGTGTTACAGAAGAGCTGGAGCCAGGGGTTGGGGCTGGAGCTGTAGGATACCAGTGGGTTAGCAAGAGGGTGCCAGGCATGGCATGGCCAATGGGGAGAGCTGGATAGGGTGGGGGGTGCACCCAGGAGTAGGAGGGGAATCGCAGCCTGTTGGGTTGAATGGGGCGGGGAAGGGCCAGTTCTTGCTAATGAAGCCCCCTCTTTCCTCTCTCCAGACCAAGCTGCCTTCTCCCTGCCCAGTGCTACCCACTGCTGCCCACTGCCACCAGTGCCATGAAGCTGCTGGGCTTTGCTGTGCTGCTGGTGTTGGCAGGTAAGTGTGTGCATGTGTGTCCAGATGCCTGGGTTCTGTGTGTGTGTCCTGGATCCCTTTGTTTTGTGTCTGGGACACCCTGAGTTCTGTGTGTGGGTGTGCGTGTATGTGTATGTGCATCTGGGACACCTGGGTTGTGTGTGTTTGAATATGTGTGTGTTAGGGAGACCTGGGGGGGCATGTGTGTGTGGCATGTGTGATGCCTGAGTTTTGTGTGTGTGTTTGTGTCTAGGACACCTCGTGCTTGTGTGTGTTCAGAACACCTGGTATGTGTGTGGGTATGTGTGTGTGTCTAGGACACATGGTGCACATGTGTATGTGTGTGATGCCTGGGTCTATTCAGAACACCTGCTATGTATTTGTCTCCAGGACACCTGGTGAATGCATATGTGTGTGGGTCCAGGACACACATGCATGTTTGTGTGTGTGTGTAGGAAACCTGGTACATATGTGTGTCTAGGATACCTGGTGTGTGTGTGTGTATGTGTCCAGGACACCTGGTATGTGCATATGTGTGTGTGTGTGATGCCTGGGCTATGTGTGTCTATCCAGGACACCTGGTATGTGTTTGTGTCCAGGAAAACTGGTGAATGCTCATGCATATGTATGTGTGATGCCTTGTGTGTGTTTGTGTGTCTGAGTGTGTGTGTGTATGACCCCTGTTCCTTGCAGCCCAGCCACTACCCCTCCCCTCTCCCCCCTAGTCGGGTTGTAACTCCTCTCTCTCCCACCCCGCAGCTGCTGCCTCCAAGACCCCCCGCATGCTCCGGGGCTTCCAGTGTCCTGATGACGCACATCGGTGGGACGTGGCCCTCTATGAAGGATTCAAGTTCAAGTGTACGGGCGTCCTGGTCCACAAGAACTGGATCCTCACACTCGCTCACTGCAACCCTAAGGGGTAGGCTCACCTCTGAGCTGGAGGGGGATGGTGGGGGTGTCCTATGTCCCCTTAACTCTGCCCACTATTTTAGCTGTAACCAGAGGTCTCATTTGACTTGGAACTGACTGGGATTTTCTCTGTGGCTGCTGGGGACAGGACTAGGAGCAATGGCTTCAAGATACAGCAGGGGAAGCTGAGGCTGGCGATGAAGCATAAATTCCTATGAGGGTGGTCAAGCATTGGAAGCAGCTAGAGAAATGGTGGAGTCATCATCCTTGGAAGTTTCCAAGAGCCGGTTGGGAGGACGGGTGGTTGAGTCATACTGGATGGACTGGGATGAAATGACCTACCAAAGCCATAGAGGACAGCTTAGAAACAAAGGCCTCAAGCTACAGCAGGAGAAACTGAGCCTGGATATGAGGAAGAACTTCCTATGAGGGTGGTCAAGCATTGGACCAGGCTAGAGAGGTGGTGGGGTCTCTGTTTCTGGAAGATTCCAAGACTGGGATGGGCAGATAGGAATGGTGGAGTCATACTGGATGGAGTGGGATGGAATGACCTACCATGGCCATTGGGAATGGGTTAGCAATGGCCTCAACACCAGGATGGAGAGATGCTGGGCAGGGCTGGTTTAGTCAGGGCTGACCCTACCTTGAGCAGGGGGCTAGACTAGATGTGACCTCATGAGGTCCCTTTCCCTATAATTGGTCTCTGGCTATGACCCAGATTGAAGTTCATTTCAGCTCCCCCAAGGTGTCCCTCACATATCTGCCCTTTCCCGCATGCTCATTGTTGTGATTCCAACTTATTCATGAGGAGCTATGGAGTCAGCCTCCTGGCATTGAAGAGTTTGGGGTATCAGGACCGCCCCCCCCCCCCCCCCCCCCAAACAGTCCCGTCAGCCTATCTAAGATCCCTGGTGAATCATGGCCTTGTGGAAGTCCTCCAAATAACCTTCTTCCTTCCTTCTGCATTGCAGGCAACTTTATGCCCGCTTAGGGCAACGTAATTTATTGCAACCGGATAAAATGGGGCAGCTGAGATTGTTGAAGAGGCGCTTTCCCTATCCCAAGTATAACAGTGCCACCAGGGATAATGACATCATGCTCGTCAAACTGTCCATGGCAGCCAACGAGAGCAAATACGTGAGGACAGTCTGTCTCCCTGATTACCCAACCCAATGTGCTGAACCTGAGGAGCACTGTATACTCTCGGGCTGGGGCACCAGATTCCTGAAGAACGGTAGAGTCACTGGAAAGGCGGAGGGCATTTCCTCCCCCGTTCTTTTCTCCCTGCCTCCCTTCTGCCCCCAAAATAAAACAAACAAACAAAAAAAGAAATTGTGGACCAAAAATATCACGGGAGAGAAGGAAGCCAATTGTTTTGGTCAGTGGAGCCTCTCAACAGGGTTCATTTCAATCAGGAACATTGACAATGCCCCTTTGTTTGCTCTGTGGGCACTGACACATGATGCATTTATTTTAGGATAAATTCTACTCCATGATACTTTATTCTGGGGTGAGGAGTGGACACATGGCAGTGGCTGTGGCCATTAGAAATGGGGGGCTTTGACAACTGGAAGATGTTATTTTTGTCCCCAAAATATGTTTTTTTTTTTAAATGAAAAAGAGGTTGATACTGGGCCTGTCTACACATGGATTTACACCATCTTAAATTTACTGCACAGTAAGTTCCTGCACAGTAAGTGGGAATGGGCCAGTGTCTACATGTGCAGGCATTAAAGTGCATTAATGCTCTGTGTGGACTGACTTAGGACTCAAGTTAGTCCGAAAAAAGTCCACACACACAGTAAAGCATCTCCATGTGCACAGTAGGGCATCTACACGTGCATTACTGTGCATAACTAATCAGGTGTAAATTTGATACCTGCAAGATGCAGAAGTTGCCATATTTACTGCACAGTAAAGGTGTACACATGTAGATGCACACCCATACTGCGCAGTAATTTTGGTTACTGCGCAGTAAATATGCATGTGTAGACACGCCCACTGACATTTTCCCAGTGGAAAATTTTCCCAGTGTTGACAAACCGATGGGGTGATAGGTGGACAGACAGATGTAGGGTGGAGTAGATAGATAGATAGATAGATAGATAGATAGAGGGGGTGTCTGAGAATAGATGGATGTGTAGATAGATAGTGGTAGGAATAGATGGATGGATAGCTATGTAGAGGTTTTATGTGGGGACGGATGGAGAGAAAGAGAGCGTGGGCATGGACGGATAGACAGACGATCAGCTAGCTCAATAGATGTGGGTGTGGAGATAGATAGATAGTATGTGTCAAGATGGATGGATTGAGAAGGGGTGTGTGAGGATGGACGGATGGATGGATGGATAGCTAGAAGAGAGTGAGGATGGTTGGATGGAGAGGGTGTGTGGAGATGGATAGAAGCTGGGAAGGTGGAAGAGAGGGATGCATGATTGGAGGGGGGCATGGGGATGGACGTATGGATAGTGGGATGGATGAATAGATAGAGAGGGTATGTGTGGAGATGGATGGTTGGATGGATAGATACATAAAGGGGAGTGGGGATGGATGAATGGATGGATAAATTGGGCTGTGTAGATGGATGGATAGATGGGGTGTATGGGGATGGATGGCTTGATGCATGGATGGATGCATAAAGGGAGGTGTGAGGATGGATGGATGGATAGACAGATAGATAGATGGTGTGTGGGGGATAGATGGATGGATAATGAAGGGGCGTATGGGCATGGATGGATGGACACTGTAGCTAGACAGACTTACCATGAGAAGAAAGGCTCCTATTCTTCCCCTCCCCAACCCTGCTGATTCTCTCCACAGGCCCCTCCAGCTTAACCTCCCTTCATCCCCACAGGGCCCCCACCTGATGTGCTGATGTGCGGCAATGTGACTGTGGTCTCCTACGCCACCTGCCAGGCCTCCCGCCCTAAGGGCCTCACCCCCAACATGATATGTGCCACCGTGACCACGGGGGGCACCGATGCCTGTCAGGTGATGGGGACAGATTCAGAGGAAGGGAAGGGGCCAGGGAGATGGGTGGGTGGGGATGTCCCTGGCATAATTTCTTGGAGAACACAGGGTAGGACCCAGCCTGGCCCCTGCCCCTCTATGCACTGCCCCCTAGTGATGGTGTGATGAATAACTCTTGTTCTGTGATGGGCACTATCTACCCTCAGCTCTGGGAGGGGAGTGGGTCTGGGAAGTCAGAGCAGGGGGGGCTGGGACCCCAGACACCTGGGTTCTCTCCCATCTCTGGGAGGGGAGTGAGGTCTGGGGCATCAGTGCGGGGGGTGGGGGATAACCCTCTCTCTGGGAGGAGAATGGGATCTGTATTTAGAGCATAGGAGACTGGGGACACCTGGGAACCCGTACACCTGGGTTCTCACCCATGCCTCAGTTTCCCCATCCCCTCTTGGACTCTGTAGACCACTCTGGGCAGAATGAGGCCAAGGCCAGCACCACTGGGCAGAAGAGGGGGGTAAAATAGACCTCCTTGATCACCAGGTTCAATAAACACAGGCATACATGAATGAGAAGGACTACCCAATGAGTTTTAGTGTGGAGCAGTGGGCAACCTCTGCAGACCCTTGGTCTCTCTCTCTCTCTCTCTCTCTCTCTCTCTAATTAGCTGCCCCAACTGAGGGACCATTGCCCAATTCCCAGCTTCTGTAGTCTTCTAAGGAAGGGAGCGTCTCTATCACTATGCCCATTCTCCTCTCCCCACCAGCTCTTCCCTACAACGTGCTCCCTCTGGAAGACAGCAGCAATTCTGGCCAAGGTGCTCCCAGGACACTCTTCCTTTACTAACAAGTCCCTTTCCCCCACAGGCGGACTTTGGTTCCCCCCTGGTCTGCAGTGGTGTTCTGCAGGGCTTGGCCTCCTGGGGCTTTGAGGAATGCTCCTACTCAGACCCGCCCAATGTCTTCATCAAGGTCTGCAAGTACATCAACTGGATCCGGGAGGTCATCGCTTCCAATTGACTGGGGATAGCTCCAACATAGATACATCCCCCCTCCCTCTCCCCCGACCATTTTGCTCCATGTCTTGCTCCTGGGTGCCCAAAATATAGAGATCTGCATTTTGTTGCACGGGGATTTGAATGTCTTGCATGTCAACAAAAGTCCTACAAGTCAATGGTCCATCAACCCCATGTCTTACAGCCATGAAGGAGGACTTGGAAGGCTTGGTGGAACAGGGCCACCATCAATGTACCACCAATAGCTTTATCTCCAATGGTGGGCAGTAGTGCATGTTAAGGAAATGACATCCAATTTTCTGTCTGGGTGAGTGGTTTGATTGTTACACCCAGAATGACTCCAAAGGCTCTTATTTTATCTGGAGAAATACAAGGGTCTTCTGGGGTCTGGCTTATTGGAATATCAGCAATTTAGCAAAATTAGTGGAGGAGTTTTATACAGTTCATCTTCATGTTCTTGCCCGTTTCTCTGGCATTATGATCTTTTGGCTAGTCAGCAGGGAGCAGGAAAGCTCTGAGTCATGATGCGAGACTGTTGTTCACACCTGGAGTCATCTTATGGATGGTGGATGGATGGATGGGTGGATGGACGGATATGTGTGTGTGTATGGATGGGTGGGGGGGTGGGCGTGTGGGAATGGATGGATGGGGTAGGTGTCCACAACACCTGCCAGTTGATAATAGATGAATTTATTGATACAGAGTAAGAACAAAAAAGCAGCAATACAAACAATCAAACAATTCTACATCTACCAGTCCTAGGGCTGTCATCAGAGTCAAAGTTCTCTGGTCAGGATGCAGGCTCCACTCTGAGACTCTTTCTCTTAGATGTCAGCAGTCTGGAGGTGCAATGCCAAGGCCCACAGCTCCCCTTCAGTGGGGTGCATGAGATGGGCTACTGGTAGGCCCTCAGTCTATGGTGGCCTTGGGGACCCTTCCTGGGGGATGGGGACAGGGATGGGAACCCCTCTCAAGGAAGAAAAGGAGGAACGGGACAAAGGGAGGGATGGGAGGGATGGAAAAGACAAAAGGAGGGACGCTTTGTTACTCTCAAGTCTCTGCTTTTGTAGTCTCCTTCTCCTTGATGACTCCTGATGACTCTTCATGTGTGGTTATCTCTGGTTGGTTCTCTCTCTGTGATCACACGTCCACGTAGCCTTCCGGGCCTTGCCCTAATTTGGCCTGTTCCCCTGAAACTGGGACTTAGGCCCCCCTTTTCTCTGAGGCCTTGTTGCTGGTGTCACTTATCTTGTGTTATGGGACAGTATGGTATATACTTCTTTGGTTCCCAGGATGTGTCATTGTTGTGCCAGACAACCTGTCTGCCTTGAAGGCTGTGATCTCGTGTTATGGCATGCCCCCCTTCAGTTCTCAGGCTGTGCCCATCTGTTGGCCTTGTGCTAGACAGACCATCTACTTTCAGGGCCATGAGAAGCTGTGTGTGTGTTTCCCAAGCTCTTTAGAAATTCAGTTAACCCCTGTTGCCCATCTTGACCCCTTATAATGCATATATCTATACCTATAAGCCAATTCCCCCCAAAACAGGCCTTTAAATACTGTTAAAGCCAACATATCTCCTCCTTGAAGATATATCTTCACACTAAACTGAACCATAATCACTGGCATCACCTGGAATGTCCATAAGATTTGTGGGGAACTCCACCAGTCATCCCAGGAAAAGTATGATGGCATTCGTGGTCAGGGACTCCAATGGGCTGGCGCTGTGATGAACCCTTAACCATTGTTCAAATGTTGCCCATACCCACTCTGACTCAGTCTCTTGCCTCAGCATTCCCTAGCCCAGCAAGCAAGTTTTAGCCAATTAGGTTTAAATAGGCCTCCCATAGTGGGATTGGGGAATGTACGGCCCGAGATGGCTACTAAACCTTTTACACAGCATTTTAGGTAGCATGTCACTCCACAGTGAATGTCTTATCTGATTGTCAAGATGGCTATTCAGATCAGAAAAAAACATTTCATGGTCAGAATCTCAGGACCAGCCATGTCCTTGGCAACTTTACCTCTCCTGTACACTGGGCAATGCTTTCTTGTTGTATCTACTGGGTGCTTGGTGCCATTGTAGCACTACCAGTGCTCTTCCATCCTGTAAAAGGCTGGAGAAATGCCAACAGTTAGGACTTTCCCAACCCATCATGAAAACCAGGCACGCTGTCTGCACAGGAAGGCCCTGGTCTTCCTGGGGATCCCATCACTTTACTCTGTGTTCCCAATCTCTGCACAAATTCTGGGAGTTAAACAAACTACATTACATTACTACTTCTACTATACAAGCTAAAATACATATTTAGCAAAAACAAACAAAACCAAAGAAAAAAGAAAATAGCCCCCCACCAAAGGATGACAATAAAACAAACAATCAATCCAGCCTTCTCGATCTTTGGCATGGCTGAACTCTGAGAGGTCTTGGAGGTGATGTTCTGCATGATGCACCATTTCTTGTAGCCACTCTGCAGGTATTTAATAGCCTAGCAAGAAGTTTTGCTTTACACTTCATAGTCCAGCACAGTTGACATCACAATCACTTATAGCAATAGCATTTTACAGACAGAGCAAAACACAATCACTACACATAACACAGTCAAGCTTGATTCCTCTCTGTACCCAGCAAACTTCACAATGCTTCAGTGGTGGGTCCAGCCTGCGAACACAAAGACAAAAAGGGGCTCACCCCTCAGTTAGTTCACTTTTAGCTGGTACACTGTGGCTGGCTTTGCTTGCCCTATAGCCAGGTTGGCACTTATCCAAAAATTTCCCCTCCTTGCACCTTGCAGAGGCTGCTTTTACAGCAGTGCTCTCCTCTCAAGGTGGTGCCAAGGTGTATCTCTGCCACACCTCTCTTTCCTTGGCCTTCACCAAGGGTTTTTCTGTCAGGGTGTGCTCCCTCTATACTTTTCCCAATGAAGGGTAACCCACAAGGCGGTGGGAGCTAGGGTTTTAAGGCACCCTATGTTCACCCCTGCCCATTCCCCATGGTGGTTATGTGACATTTTGCAGAGCCTAGCCTGCTACGGGTAGATCCATCACACTAACCACACCCAGGAGGGTGGCAGTTTTAGGTCATACCCAGGACCAAACTCTCCACTTTCCTGCTCTGGTCTTCTTTACTCCTCATGGGCAGTCTCTGACTTCTGGGCTTCCTGACACCTCCTCGGGCCAGTTGAGATTGCAGGCTCCTGGCTCTGGCAGCTCTAACAGTGGTCTTTTCACTCTGCCCCTTCTCTGGACTGCCAGATCACTTGGTCTTCTAGGACCCTGCAGACTCTTTAGTAGATCTTTCTCTCTCTCACTTGGCTCCCCTCAGGCCCTCTGGACCCATCCAGCTCTATTCTCTCCTGATCTACCCCCTCCTGGACTTCAAGTCACTGACTCTGCTTCACACCTTTCAGACTGTGTCCCTGGCTTCCCATGCTCTCACAAACTCTGGCTGGGCTCTGCTTTCTAGCACCCACTCTCAATTCCTCTCTCTGTGCTCTGTGAGTCTCTCAAACCCCTCAAAGATCTATGCGCTCTATGTCAGTGAGCAATATACATCGACCCTCATCAAGACGGAATTGAAGGATGAGAAAGTAGAAGGATTGTGGGTTAGGTTACATGGGGGGCAAGGAGAAAGGGATTTGGTAGTAGGGGTCTGCTACAGACCCCCCACACCAAGGGGAGGAACTAGACTCGGGGCTCCTGAGGCAGCTCTTGAAGACCATAAAAACTAAGGAGGCGGTAGTCATGGGGGACCTAAACTACCCAGACATCTGCTGGGAGACGCAGACAGCAAAGTCCCACTGTTCACACAGGTTCCTAACCTGTGCACAGGACCTCCACCTGATGCAGGAGGTACACGGTCCTACTAGGGGGCATGCCTTACTGGACCTGGTATTGGCAACGGGGGATGATATGGTAGGGGACCTACAGATCGGTGATCATCTGGGGGCAGTGATCACCTAATAATAGAATTCACCATAAGACATTGAGTGGGTAAGGTAACTAGTAGGGTGAAAGTGCTAGACTTTAGGAAAGCTGATTTCAGTGAACTCAGGTGATTAGTCAAGGATGCACTGCAGAGTAGGAGTTTTGAAGTGATGGGAGCCCAAGAAGGGTGGCTGTGCCTTAAGGAAATGATCCTTCAGGCACAAAGGGAGACGATCCCAATGTGAGGAAAAAGAGGGAAAGGGGCTAGGAGTCTTCCTTGGCTGACCAGAAAAATCCAGGGCAGCCTAAGGGCCAAAAGGGGAGCATATAAAAAGTGGAAACGGGGAGAGATCACCC